AAAATTATATTTCTTGAGAAATCTGGAATTTAATTAAGTCAAGCCCAGTAATTTGATAATTGATCTTTAGACATTGGATTGATTGTTAAGTAAGTATTTGAAAAGATACTTACTTACTAGTAAAAAGATTTAAAATAAAAGTAACCGGTGATTTTACTCTAAAAAGAATCATCACCTCACCAATAATTACATCCCTACTCTTTATTCCTGAAAGGTAAAATTCAATCTCCATTCCTTATTCGACTTATTGAAAACTTTTCAATTCAACGAGTAAACCTTGTCTAGCTAGTCTTGCTAAACTTTCCCTTGGGCCGATCCTTGAGACGACACGGGATAAACTGATCTTTTAAAGGTCTAGTCTGTTCCCTTTACTACTACGGGAATTTTGAGTTAAACCAAAATTCTTCACCAAATGGCGCCGTTGCCGAGGATCGGCGCAGAAAGTTATTAGTAAGATTTCTTTTTAGTTAGCCTGAAAGAAAGTTGATAGAAACGATTTTCATAAAAAAAAACATTAAATACTTTTGTTTTAATTTACTTTAAAATATTTTCCCGCTTAATTTGTTAAACTTTTATTTCCCTTTATTAAAGCGTTCTGGTGAAGAATTTTGGTTTAACTCAAAATTCCCGTAGTAGTAAAGGGAACAGACTAGACCTTTAAAAGATCAGTTTATCCCGTGTCGTCTCAAGGATCGGCCCATGGGAAAGTTTAGCAAGACTAGCTAGACAAGGTTTACTCGTTGAATTGAAAAGTTTTCAATAAGTCGAATAAGGAATGGAGATTGAATTTTACCTTTCAAGAATAAAGAGTAGGGATGTAATTATTGGTGAGGTGATGATTCTTTTTAGAGTAAAATCACCGGTTACTTTTATTTTAAATCTTTTTACTAGTAAGTAAGTATCTTTTTAAATACTTACTTAACAATCAATCCAATGTCTAAAGATCAATTATCAAATTACTGGGCTTGACTTAATTAAATTCCAGATTTCTCAAGAAATATAATTTTCAAGAATAGATTTGCCTTCTCTCGATTTACAAATCTCAAGTATAAATTCTCAGTAATAAAAACTAGTAATTTCCCTTGACAATAATATAATGATTTTCTCAGAAAATTACCATCACCATTCCAATAATCACACCCTAATTAATTTAGCTACTCATAATAAAAACCTTCAACACACATGCATCATAAGAAGACATTTTTTCAATTAAAAGTAGAGAGTTGATAAAACTTACTTCGACAATATGAAGAACTGGAGGTTCGGGCTTACAATTTGCTCCGTGAAAACTCCAGGAAATAATACTAATCTAAAATATGGAAGTAACCTTGTAAATCTAGACTAAAAATGGAGAAATTCAGACTTGGGAGGGAGAGAGGGGCGCTGTGCAGCGTGTCAAATCGGAGAGAGGGGTGCTGTATTTATAGGACTGGACGCGAAGCGTCCAACCCCAGCCGTCCAGATCCAAAGCGTCCAAAGTTGGACGCCTTACACGGCCCGTCCATTCGCTGCTCGCCACGTGGCTTTCGTGATGCCCAATCTTTGCCAAGCGTCCAAGGGGAAGCGTCCAACCTGCAAAGCGTCCAAGGCTTGGACGCTTCGGGCCTTCTCCTGTGGGCTTTTTCCGCGGCTTGATCCAATTCAGGCCCAATTTCAATTTTTACTTTGCTTCGCAGTTTGTTTCAGCTTTCTCCGATATTCTCATGATAAAATTCTCAGTAAAAAACTTCTTTTTCTTTCAAATATAAACAGAAGAATCAACAATCAGGACTGGATAAACTTTAAACCAATTATTATTCCTTAAGGAACAAATCAAAGATATTGTTCAGTTTAACATAAAATTATGTACTGCTTACCACTATTTTCGTGCAATAACGCTTAAAATATGTAGAATAAAATAAGAACAAAATGAACTTATCACACACGAGCCTCAATGAGGCTTGCTCGGAGATACAGCACTCCATAACTTCAACAGTTCAACCAGAAGGAATATACTCGTCCTTCGTACAACCAAGGGAACAAGCCTCCCTTCAAGTGTATAAAACACTTAAACACTCATGAACAAGACTCTCCTCAAGAGTAAATATTGAGTAAAATAAAGAACGCTAAAAACCCAACAATATCTTCACGAAATGGCTCTCAAAAGCTATGGAAAGAGTATTGAAGTTGTGAAGAATTGTGTGTTAAAGTAGACCCAAGAGACCCCTCTTTGTACCCAAAAATCAGCCACAACGGCGGGGAGAAGATTGGGGTTGATTGACATTATTTGTGGAAATTAAATCAAATGTGGATCTACTGAAAATATGCCTAAAATCGATGTTCAAGTACTGAACATCGCTGTTTTGGCTATGACTTTATATTTGAATTGTCAAACGGTCATCTTAACAACGATGTTATAAACCTAACATCGTTGTTGGAAGTCTTGACTTCCAAACAGGGAAAGCTTTTGTCTTAATTTTTTCCAATGGCCAGGAGCCAACATCGATGTTCAATGTTGAACATCGTTGTTCTGAACTCTTTCCCAAAGGAAGGTTTTCAAGCTTTGGCTCCAACATCGGTGTAGCATAACTGTAACGCCACAAATTAAATATGGCCTAAAATTTATTATAAAATAAAAGTAGTTTTATCCAATAAGGAATATTTATACGTTTGACCAAAAATAAATGGATTTCCAAAATAATGACTTTTTGTTAAAAACTTATTTTTATGGATATGTCTCGAAGAGACGAATCCAACGGTACATTTTATGAACCAATCTTATTTATAGATTTCAAGCTATGGTGATTTTTTTTTAAGAAAAAAATATAAGAAATTATAAAATATTTTTTTTTAATGCATTTTATTAAATAATCAAAGAATACAAACGTCTAAACAAGCAGGAACAGGCTCCTCACTTGTATAAAAAGTAAGCAACAACCAAAGAACTATAATGTGAAGCGCTTATCGGATATTGGAACATAGACTTAAGTGCAATTACAAAGCCGGCTCAAAACATTCCACTTAGATCTAGGAATAAAATCATTCCCGGAACCTCAACCCCCGCAAGGGTAAGGCCTAAGGTCAGATAATCCGATCAAGAAAAAATGTTCTAAGCTAAGAAATGCAATCGACATAAGTCCAGTCTAAAATCCAGAAAAGCCCAACTAAAGAATGAATAAAATAATATGTGCAAAAATAATCCAAGTGAGCCAAGTAGAGCCCAAAACTGGAAAAGCCCAAACCATGAAGGAAGGCATGTGTGCTAGCCCAAATCCGCTTCTGAAGCCCGACCTGAGGAGGCCCAAACCATGAGAGTCCAATAAAATTAGCCCAATCATCAGGCCCAAACAGAAACCCAATC